TATATATATCGTAAACAATAAAATCCTATACATCAGACATTGTCGTTGTTACCGAAACGTGGCTTTCTTCAAATGTTCCTAATTCAGCAATAGATTTATGCGGTTATTCCCTACTGAGGCATGATCGTTCCGACGGCAGACGAGGAGGTGGAGTCTGTGTCTTTGTAAAGGACATGCTTCCGTTCATTCATCTTAAAGAGATTGAAAGTCATGAATATGAGTCGCTTTGGTTACTCTTAAAACCTCACCGCTTGCCTCGTGGTTTAAATTCAATTGTATTGGGAATCGTGTACCATCCACCTGGAAGTGACGATAAAGCCCTTCTTTCACACCTTACCGAATCAATCGATTCTGTCCTTTCCACCAATCCCGGTGCAGGAATTATTTTGGCCGGAGATTTTAACCAATTTAAACATCGCCAGTTATGCAGTTCCTTTAACCTCAAGCAGTTAGTCAAAGACGCTACTAGAGAAAAGAATATTTTAGATAAAATATTTACCAACATTTCTAAATTTTATAATTCTGCCCTGGTAATTTCTCCAATTGGACATTCCGATCATAATTCCATCGTTCTTAAACCTCTTCCAGCTAACTCTTATGGTGGCACAAGGTCTACACGTTTAGTACGAGACTCTCGCCCAACCAATCGTCGAATTGTTAGTGATCATCTGTCGAAAGTTAATTGGTTACCTTTGCACCATATGGAATCTTGTGACGAGCAGTTCCAGTATTTTTCCACCATCGTTGATAATATCATAAACGAACATTTGCCTTGGAAACAAATCAACATTGATTCTAGTGACAAGCCTTGGATTACTTCCGAAATAAAATCTCTTATTTCCAAGCGGCAAACAGCATGGGCGGCTGGCAATAACCCGATGTTCAGATTCTATCGAAACAAAGTCAATGCACTTTGCAAAAAAGCACGACTAAATTACTACAATAAAAGTATCGCGGGCGTTCAACAGTCCGATTCTCGTAAATGGTGGTCAGCGGTGAAGAATATTGCCGGTCTTCAGTCTCTAAGAATGTATCTACAATGATGTTCCAAGGTAAATCCTACTCTGATGCCGATTTAGCAAACTTGCTCAACGACAAGTTCGTTGCTGTAGGGTCCTCCTTACCCAATCTAAACTGGCTCCCCCTTCCCACAAATGACATTCCAGATGATTTCTGCATCTCTGTCGAGGAGACTGAAAAGGCCCTATTATCATCTAAACTTCATTTATCTGCTGGTCCCGATGAAATTCCTTCTTGGCTTCTCCGGGAAAACGCTTCAGTGTTGTGTCGACCTTTGTGTTCTATTTTTAATTCATCAGTTCGTGAAGGATTTGTTCCCTCAATATGGAAGGCAGCAAATATTACACCAGTTCAAAAATCTTTGCCTCCTAAAGATGTTGATTCTGACTTCAGACCAATCTCCCTCACACCAATTATCAGCAAGATTCTTGAATCCTTTCCCTACAAATGGCTACTTGACTCTGTCTCAAAAAAAATTGATTCCTTGCAATTTGGTTCGCTGAAGGGTTCAAGCACTAGTATGGCATTAATCTACATGCTACATAAATGGTATGAAGCAGCTGACAAACAAGGCAACACTATACGGATTTGTTTACTTGATTTTGCCAAGGCGTTTGATAGATTAGATCATAACATTCTGTTGGAAAAATTGAAAGACATGGAAATTCATCCCGTGTTACTCAACTGGATCGCAAACTTCCTAATAGGCAGACAACAAAGAACCCGTTTGGTCAGTTCTTTTCTGAGTGGAAGTTTTTAAACGCCGGCGTCCCACAAGGAACGAAGCTTGGCCCGCTATTATTTTTGATCTTGATAAATGACTTGGCTGTAGTGGATGAAACTGTTAAATTTGTCGATGATACTAGCCTTTGGGAAATAATATCAAACAATTCCCCTTCCCAGTTACCCGCTAACATCATCAGCTGCTCTGAATGGTCATCAGACAATAATATGAAGTTAAACGTATCAAAGACCAAAGAATTGCGTGTCTGCTTTTCTAAGCTTACCCCATCGTTTGCCCCTATTACCATTCGCGGTCAAGAGGTCGACGTCGTTTCCGAGGCCAAACTATTGGGCGTTGTCCTTTCGGACGACCTAAAATGGAACTGCCATATTGACTACATTTGCAAGAAAGCCGCGAAGCGTTTGTACGGTCTGCGCCTTCTTAAAAGAAATGCTTTACCTACTCATATTCTGATCTCAACCTATTGTACACATATTCGACCAATTGTCGAATATGCTTGTCAGGTGTGGCATTATGGCCTTCCTCATTACCTGAGTGATCAAGTTGAAAAAATACAAAAAAGGGCATTAAAAATTATTTTCCCTGGAACTATTTATGCTGAATGTTTGCTTAAAGCTAACTTAATGACTCTTTACGAACGTAGAACTGTCCATTGCAAGCGACTTTTTTCGAAGATGTTGGAACCCACTCATAAACTGAATGCCTTAGTACCGCCTAAAAGTCTTCAAACTTATAATCTGAGGTCTTATCCCAACTTATTAGTACCTAGGTGTAGAACTGAACGTTTTTCGAACAGTTTCATTCCTGCTGCGTCTCGTGCTTATAATAATAAGTAAACTTTAGATTACTAACGTTATTTTTATCTAACTTACCTATTTTTACCTGTAAATATAGAATAGATTAAATACCTATGTTCTTATACCCTGTAATTCCAAAGTAATTCAGTTGTTACTGCTAGTTTGGAAATTTTAATAATATAATAATAATATATATATATATATATATATATATATATATATATATATATATATATATATATATATATATATATATATATATATATATATATATACACATGCACACACACACAGGTGACTATGACGTGTGTAGTCGTGTATTAAAGAGGTTTCGTTTTTTTTATACAAATTAAGATAATATGTATTGTAAAAGTATAGACTAAGACTAATTTCTTTTTAATTTTTTTTGGGTTACCAGAGATTTGAGACTATATCTTCTGTTTCTTTTGTGCAGAGAAATAAATAATTAGAAAATAGATTTACTAAAACAGGATGGTCCGATGACATCGTGTGTTCGAGTAATTTTTGTTTAGTTTCTTTTGTTGTTGAGATCAGACATATTTTTGAGAATGTTGTTTGAGTTGTCTCGTAAGTGTTGGTAATTTTGGCATGTGACTTCGCCAGAATCAAATAGTTTACAAAGAAGTTCTTCTCGAGGTATATTTTCGTATCTTCCTCGTCGAGGGGCATTTCACTCCAAAAAAGCGTACGGGATTTTCGGATTTTTAAAAATCCGCGGATTTTTTTGCGGATTTAGCGGATTTTTCCCGGATTTTTTAGCGGATTTTTGAAGAGAAAATTTGCTGGATTTTCCGGATTTGTTCGGATTTTTGAAAATCTGTTGGATTTTCCGGATTTGTTTGGATTTTCCGGATTTGTTCGGATTTTTTCTGGATTTTTTTTAATTATAGAGTTATAGAGCTAGGTAACGTTTTGAACAAATAATCTTAAGTTCTACGATGTCAACGTTATGCCAGGACGTCAGGGTCGAGCAGAGGACTGGGACTATGACCACAGCCTTCTAAAACTAACGAAGGCTGGGCATGCAGTCATTTTGTTTAAAATTCAAACAAGTTCATTATTCTTTCAAAAGCAGTAAAAGACAATGGTGAATAACTTTTGGTTTTGTAATTATATTTTACAACATAACGTCATTAATTGTAACAAGAACACATATTTAGTAGTAATAGGCTAAAAAAACTTAGCGTATACTCGAGCGTATAAATGGAAATGTAGAGTGGTCCAATAATTACGAAATATAATAACAGCGATCACGGTAAGCGTTTAGCTTTCGCTGTCCGCCATTTTGAACGTGGCAAAGAACCTTTACGAGTAAATTACACCAAGTACTTCATATATTTTTTGTGGATTTGCGGATTTTTTAAGGATTTTGAAGGATTTCAGTGGATTTTTGAAGGATTTCTGTGGTTTTTAAAGGTTTTTTGGATTTTGATGGATTCAACGGATTTTGAGGATTTCATGGATTTTTTCTGGATTTTTTCCGGATTTTTTGACGAAGTGTACGGGATTTTTGGAGTGAATTGCCCCTCGTTCCTCGTTCAATTGACCATTTGCGCAATAGACTAAATTTTGAACTAAACAAGTCTAGACAAAAATTTCATCACAGCTTGAAGGAGCATCACAAAATTAGTAATATTCCAAAGTTTCGTTGCAAAATGTTGTAAAATGCGGAAAATATAGCCTTGCGAAATTTGCAATTTTCAGTCATTTTAGATTACAAACGGAAAATTGACAGCCCCAAACCCTTCGAGGCTGTCAATTTCCGGTTTGTAATCTAAAATGACTGAAAATTGCAAATTTCGCAAGGCTATATTTTCCGCATTTTACAACATTTTGTAACGAAACTTTGGAATATTACTAATTTTGTGATGCTCTTTCAAGCTGTAATGAAATTTTTGTTGAGATCAAAATTTAGTCTATTACGCAAATGGTCAATTTGTAACTTATGGTTGCAGCTTATATGATATTGGGAAAATGTTCTTGTTGTTGTTGGATTTTGAATAAGGGATAAGTATTCTACCATTTTCTATTCATTTTTGAATTTACAAAAGAAAATTCATCTTCGATGTTTATGCCGCTGAATATATTCAGCATAAACATTCAACTTGGATGGTAATTCCGTCGACTGTCTTCGGCATAACCATTCAACTTGGATGGTTATGCCGTTGACTGTCTTCGGCATAACCATTCAAGACATCTAAGTTGAATGTTTATGCGGAACGTATTCAACGGCATAAACATCTAAGTTAAATGTTTATGCCGAACATATTCAACGGCATCCAAGTTGAATGTCTTAGATGGTTATACCGTTGAATATGTTCGGCATAACCATTCAATTTAGATGGTTATGCCGTTGAATATGTTCAGCATAAACATTTAACTTAGATGTTGATGCCGTTGAATATAATCGCCATAACCATTCAACTTAGATGGTTATGCCGTTGACTGTCTTCGGCATAACCATTCAACTTGGATGGTTATGCCGTTGACTGTCTTCGGCATAGTTAAGTTATCTGGGGTCGAAAAGTTAACTCGGGTCGAAAAGTTAAGACTATATATAGCCTTACTTTTTGTCGATTTTCACCCGTTTTTCAAAACAATCACTTTCGATTGATAGAAAAGATGTTTTAAAAAATTTTGGTCAAATGCAAAGGGGGGGGGGACCACAGGGCAACACCCAACACTGAGCAAGGGGGGGAGGACACGGGGAATTTTTCAAAAATTCAAAAACATTGAAACTGAACCCCCTCAAACTAGTCCAAACTTTCTGAAAATTGTCAAAAACCTTTCTTGTCATCAAAACAATTACTTTCTATGGATAAAAACACTTTTTTTGTCATTTGATGAGAAATATGGCTTACAATCATTTTCAGAAATTTTGTAGTGCGAGTGTCTCTGAGTCTTGAGATCCGAGAGAGAGAACACTAGGAATACATGACATATAATGAAACAAATCAACAAATTTTATCGCAGTGGTAGCTGTCAGTTAACTGCTGATGGGCTGTTGATATGAGCCGGACTCATCCAGACTTTGAAATGTGAGTTTGGATCTTTATCAAAGTGAAACCTTTATTAAAACAAATCATCTCATTTAACCACCCAGCTCCACATAAACAGCTCCCAAGCCCTAATCTACAGAAATGGTTCTGCTTTCTGATTCTATACAATATCTTATGAAATATTTTGCCAAAGGCGGGCCCGAAATAGGAGCCTGATAATGGGCAAAAGCAGTCTCAATAATTTTCCAGACCATATTGTTTGCTACTCTGAGACCTTACACAAGGCTGTATAACATTTGTAGCCAAACCCTACTTAGGCAAAAAAAAAATATATGTGGGTTTCCGGTTTCTTCTTATAAAAACTTAGGTAGGGTAGGTCGGTTTTAACTTTTTTTTTAAAACTTTTTTAAAATTTTCCTAACAACCGGGCGCCATTTTGTTTAGTTAGTGCTTCCACATCAAAAGATAAATTTCCCTAATATTGTCTCAAATTTCAATTTTCCACAAACTTTTTCCTGTAAGTGGAAACACTTACAAGCATGATCCAAAAAAAAAGTTTAGGGTCGGGATTTCGACGTCCAAAAGCTAGGTAGGGTCGGGAAACCGGAAACCCACATATTTTTTTTTGCCTTATAATTCTTCTGAATTGAGGACACGTAGAATAGTCTCCCTTTCTTTAAGAGCGTTACTGGCCATATCGCGTTCCCTCTTGGTTGGGCTCTTTTTGTTTTGCTTGTACGTTGAAAACTTTCGGAACCATTCCAGCACCTCCGCATCGGCCGATTGCACTCTATGTCGCAACTCCTGTTTCCGCATTTCCGTCTGTCCGATCTCGAGCAACTCTCGTTTCATTTTCTGATTCAGCGCTACCAACACCTGCATTTCAGCTTGTCTTTTTTTAAGTTCATTAAGGACTTCGTCACCACCATCCTCGTTAGCAACTTCGTTGTCATCGGATTTCTCGATGATGCCCTGTGCGGCAAGTTCCTGCTGAATCTTAACCTCAAGGGTGCGGGCATGCGGGACGTGCATCAATTTGGTTCCTGTCGGGAGTGCCACTTTACCACTCTCCCCCGACGCCTTTGTATCCAACGGCTCTTCTGTTATTGGTGCAATAATATTCTCCTCCACAAACGCACTTATGAGTCTCTGTGTTAGAGGGCCAAATGGACAAGTTTCGTCCGCTGGTATATCCACACTCTCCGCCCCTCTTTTCATAATGTCCATCAACATCACCTCGTTAACATTATCAGCGTTACTTGATTTTAACATGGATTGTTTTCTCTCGCTAGCTTTCTTGCCTAATTCCTGTTCATCAGCCAAATCTTCTACCGCCCATTTTTCACTATAATGTTTTCCCAAGGAGGGGACTTTGTAGTACTCAGAGTTGTCTTCGGACGACTTGATAGAATCCTCCAGAAATTTTAAATCTTCAAGGGTTATGTCGGCACAATATGGCTCGACAGTTGCCCAAAACCGATTCGGCGCATCGATCGATTTTGACTTGATGGTATTTGGTTCATCATCTTGGTCAAAATAGTCGCCCTTTGTGTTTGATGATTTTTTATTTCCTTTCACTTTTTGAGCAAGGGCTGTAGTTTTGTCATCCAGTTTTTGCCTCTGAAAAGTAATAATGAAGCATTTTATTATACACAACTTTGAGACCCCCCCCCCCCCCCCCGTAGTGGTGTCCAGCCCTTGAAGAAAACTCTGGTTTTCCATATTTGAGTTGTGAACATTACTTATTATATTGAAACAATTGATTTTCAAATACGTGAGAAAATATTCAAGCACCAATATGGCGGGTCACCATATGAAGGCCATGGAAATGGAAGTCTCCGATTTGCGTTCGTTAAATTTTCATATCATATCTTAAGCTGGTGCTTCCACTTTCAAATCCAAATTTCCTCTTCTCGTAGTGAAATTTCCTTAAATATCATGAAATTTTCCTGGAAGCACCAAATATATTATGTTGAAAATGACGTCTGTACTGGAAATTATCGAACTACAGATACACTGCTTTTATATGAATGCGAAATAGGCAGTTTTACTGCTGTTTGGCAATTTGGAACTTGAAATTCTGCAACGGTTAGTTTTTTTCGCAAATAATTAATATTTTTCTGAACAATGAAATTTTCATGCGGTAGCTTTTGGAGCACACAGGCGGTGAATGCAAATCAGAGACTTTCATTCCCATAGCCTAATGTAGCACTTTTCTTAATTTTTGCCCGAAAATACAAGTACTGTGGCATTTCAGGGCTTCAAATTTCAAAACCTATACACCCTCTAATAAATCAGGCCAGATCCGACCCTGCTTCCTCAATATATATTTGGGGGGAAGGGGGTGCCCCCTGCCCCCGCCTAGTGTCTGGCTGTCTGCCAAGCAACTGAAATAGTGAAATAGACCATTTTATACCTTGCTGCCCCTTTCGTCACCAGAAGTTGGTTTACATCGTTTTAACGAGTTTAGAATCTCCAATTCTTTCTGCCTCGAGCCTTTCTTGTCCTTTCTGTCAACCCAGTCAGTTAAAACCTTGTTTTCAGATTCCAAAAGCCTCGAACGTCGATTTACAGCGGCGAGAAGCGTTTCCAGATCACTTTGTAGCATAGTTAAATCCTCTACAGTCACGCCTTGATCCACGGACTTTTTTAAGACCGAGGAATACGACGGGCACATCTTGCCGTGGTCTAAAGTTTTGAATTCGTGATATTGTAAAGGACATTTCTCGTCGTCCATTTTGAATTTTATATTTCTTCCTTGATGATACCCCGTACTTCATATAAGACAAGAACGTAGTGGTTTCTACACTGACCCGCATGCTGAACTGGACCAATATATAGGAGCAACAAGTTGCTGCAATTGCAACCATAGATATCTTGCAACAAAATACAATTTGATTTCTACGCATGTCAATTGAAAATGTTTACACATAAATTACAAATCACAAGGCAACATGTGTCGACATTTCTGCTTAACATGCGTTGAAATCAGATTTTGTTGCAAGTTGAAGCAATTTTGTTGCTCGTATTACTCCAGCTTTAGTGGTTTCATGGTTTGCCTGATCTGCATATCAAACTGGATGAATATATTCATATCGACGCAAAAGACTATAGTTATTTGCCACCATATACAAGACTCTACATATATTGAATAAATGGCTGACCTGCTAATATTTGATGTAGTATTGTTTCAAAATTTCCAATACATTTACCGATATATCAAGTAGAAGATTTAGGGCAATATACATAGTTACATAGCATTTACGAATTCTCAACCATTAAATCATAACAGTTCAATTTTAACTTGAATGATAGTATATGATACACACTTCAGTGACTAGATAATTACGTCACGACTAACACTGTTTTCGACTTAGGACCACCTAAAATTGAATGGATTTTAAGTTTGTTTCTCACGGGCTATTGTCAGAGGAGCAGAACATCCTTCGTCACAACGCATGCATAAAAAAGGATTCTGACCAATAAATGTGGAAATAAGCTTAAACACGAAATCGAGGCTGAGGGGTCATGGCCCATCTTGGTCCTAAGTTGAAAACAGTGAGTTTTGACGTAATTACCGGAAAAGTCTATTGTCACAATAGTGGCAATACTGCCATTTAGATTTAGCAACAACCGTCCACAAAATATTTGAGACAAACCCCACTCCACTCATTTCAATGTTGCTTTGTGCTGTAAAATTGTTTTATTCAAAAATCATGCATTAGATTTTACTAAAACTGTCTGTATCAGTGTAGGTAGTACCAATGTGAAAATGCTGTGCTGAGTGATTATATTACTACCTTAAAAAACAAGCGGAAACTCGACGTTTCGAGCGAAGGCCCTTCGTCAAGAGTTAGTTACTCTGCATTACATTTTGAATGCCAATAGGACAGTTGCGGTTGTTGGGTCACGTAATATTTCTGTCAGGAAGATAATAGCATTTCAACATTGAAACAGGGGGAAGTGGATTCCAAAGGTCTCGATATATTTTGTGAACGATTGCAGGCTACCGTCTAACCGTCCTATTAGTAGACGGTCACTATTAAATTTACATGGTTATTTTTAAAAGAAAATTTAGAATAATTGTATGATACACGTTTGAGTGAATCGTCACTATACCAGCCATTTAGATTTAGCCAGGCTACCGTCCTATTAGACGGCCACTATAGAAGTTAGATCATTTAGATGGCTATTTTTTAAAGACGGTTAAAGAAAATGTTTTCTCAAAGCAGCAACCAGCAAGCTTTGTGATATTTCTTGAATACCTCAAAAGCTGCTGTTGTTTTGTCGAAAAGAGTGTAGAATGGTTCTGTGGTTGGAAATGTCGAGTGTACAGCATATGACAATGGACAGCTTGCATGTTAGACTAAATTTTAATCTAAGTAAAGAGAAGGGAATAAAACACAACAGTTAAAAAGAAAATAATGAAATTAGTAAAATTGCAAAATTTGGTTGCGAAATGTTGTAAAATACAGAAAATATAGCCTTGCGAAGTTTGCATATTTTCAGTATATTTGTATTACGTGCGGAAATTGTTACCATTTTCGGCTCAATAATGGTAACAATTTCCGCACGTAATACAAACATACTGAAAATATGCAAACTTCGCAAGGCTATATTTTCTGTATTTTACAACATTTCGCAACCAAATTTTGCAATTTTACTGATTTTAATAAGTTCTGTACGGGAATTTACTTTTTTTGCCTAAATAAAAAATTAGTCTAACATGCAAGTCGTCTATTGATTGCAAGCGCCGTATTTTCGGCCAGATTTGACGCAAGGAGCTTGGCTATAAAAGCCTGCTATACATACGAAACAATTCATTGGTCTATCCAGTTGATTTGTCAGTACAGGTTTTCCGTCTAATCCTGTCACTGCTACCTTAAGTCCTGAAGATTTATCGTGCTCTCGTGGTCTAGGGGATGGTCATGAACATCTGTGATGAAGGGGGATACGGGGGATTTATCAATGTCATCGGATAGGGATAAATTAAGGCTAAGACCAGGCATGGTAGAGTTGTTCCGCTCAACTGGATCTTTGATGTTGCTGTGAATATCTGCTGAACACTCGTGGCTTAATTTCGGCTCAACTTCTGAATGTTTCACCTCCTCACCCTGAAAGACAATAATTAAAGCTTAAGCCTGATGTTTTCCAAATTATTTATTAGTATATAAAGCTTTAAAATATCAACAAGTCGCAGTGTGGATTGAAATCTTACAAAAAGTAGTTATAACTAATATGTTTATTGTTTGAAATTAATCTATATATGATTAACGACTTTAGGGGTTTAGGGGCAAAAAATTGACAATTTTTCCAGCCATGCCCTGAACAAGGAAAATTTGTGTGTACGGCTGCCAAGGAAAACTTGACAGTGTACAGGAAATACTTTTATGGTTTTGGCGATTGCGCAAATTATGCTAATGTGCAATAACTTTCCTCACCTGAAATATGATCGAAGGTGGTGCGAAATGTCCTATTGAAGTCGACTCAGAACGCTGTCTCAATGTCAAGGCACCCAGGTTACTCTCCGAAGAACCATCATTGCCATGCCCGTCCGTCCCATCTGTATCAGCTGTTACATCTGCCGTAGGGGGTTCATTCTCCGGTGATGTAAACACGACCATAGTAGGTAACGTCAGGTCCTCGGAACGTTTACCCCTCTCCGAACTTTGTGCCTGAGAAATGTATTCTTGAGTTTGAGATGATTGTTCGATGTATCCACCAGGGGGTGAACTTTCCTCATGGACAATGTACCCATCACTAGGGGAGGTTTGTTCCCGTACAATGTACCCTTCGCTACCGGCATTTTGTTCCCGTACAATGTAACCTTCATTATCGGAGTTTTGTTCCCGAACAATGTACCCTTCAGTATCGGGGTTTTGTTCCCGGACAATGTGCCTCTCTCGGACAATGTACCCTTCGGTACCGGAGTTTTGTTTATGAATAACATAACCTTGCGAACGGACTTGCTCAGGGTTACTCGACTCCGAGGCGTCGACGTCCATACTCGCCTGGACGTAATGAACCCCCGGTGATGGCAACGGAGTGCCGGTGGTAAACACTACGTTGCTATGCGACGTGGTGGCGTATGTATCGCTGGTGTTGAACGGGAAACAGATGCCGTGTGAGGAATCGGAGACGGGGGTTTGAGGCGGAAATGTTTCTTCGGTCGAGTAGTGTACGACGGTTAGCGAGGCTACATCTTCGGAAGCAAAATCTTCTCCCGAAAATGTATGCATGACGGCGTAGGGTGTGTTAGGAGCGGAGTTAGGACTGCTGGTTACCACTGAGTTCACGCCACCAATCTCCACGTAGTGAATAGACGTTGCTTGATCTGGGAGGAAAGAAGATGAGTTAGGACAGTCGCATGATTTAGACGGCAAAGAAAAGATTAATGCTGAAGGGTTTTGTAGATGGAACCCGGGAGCAGCTAAGAAAAATGCAACTATAAGTCCTATACTACTATTACCTGAGGCATGTTCTTGCTCCATACTTTCATCCTGACTCGATATCTTCTCTTCATGTCTTTTCTGATGTAATCTCAAGTTAGCCGCAGTGGTGTACGCTTTATCGCATCCTTCCACACTACATCTGAATGGTTTGTCTCCCGAATGTTTCCGTAAGTGTATCGTAAGAGTACTTGCTGCCGTGAAGCCTTTGCGACAGTCTGTGGGAATAAAGAACAGGGCTTAAAGTGTCTATATCATGGTTTTGGAGTTTGCCTATCTCGAACGTTTAGGGTATTTTAAGACACATTGCAATATATTTTGTTATTGAAAAATTTCATCTTGATGGATTTTTAGCTCTTAAAGTTACCGGACATGACGTCAAAAGGAGAATTGCAAATCAGTTTTCCTTTGTATCATTGCAACAAAATTCTCCTTTTGACGTCATGTCCGGTAACTTTAAGAGCTAATAAATCCATCAAGATGAAATTTTTCAATAACAAAATATATTGCAAAGTGTCTTAAAATACCCTAAACTTTCGAGATATGCAAACTCCAAAACCATGATATAGGCACTTTAAGGCGCACGGCCCCCATGGAATGTTAGGACTTAGAATGTAGCTCCCTAGTAAAGTCAACTACATGATGTACTGTACATATATGTATCAGTGTATCTATGACTGTACGACTTGAGTGAAACTAATGACTTCTCATACGAGGATTTGAAATGACATCTCATACGAATAAATCAATACTTAATTAATTTTGATATCCAGTCCAAGGACTGAATCAATATACTTCATCAGGTATCCAGTATTATCACGTGAGCAAAATAAAGTAATATGGTTGGCTAATTTACTCATGAATTATTACAGACAAACCGGATGTTCTCTTGCAAGCGACATTGCAATATTGTCCCACAATATTGCAATTTTGATAGGCAGATTGCTCTGAGCAATTTGCAACCGACGCGAACAAATTGCAAGTTGAAATTCACAAAAGATTTGTAAACAAAGCGTCTGATTGGACTATAAGAAAGAGGGAAGCACCAATCTAATTGCTCAGACTATTTGATTGGCTTCCCTCTTTCTTATAATCCAATCAGAGGCTTTGTTTACAAATCTTTTGTGAATTTCCAACTTGTAGTTTGTTCGCGTCGGTTGCAATTTGCTCAGAGCAATCTGCCTATCAAAATTGCAATATTGTGGGACAATATTGCAATGTTGCTCGCAAGAGAACATCCGGTTTGACTGTAATGAGTTTGAGACGATACGGTTGACGTGGAAAACAACCTTTACAATACCACTATAT